CTGTACTGTCGACTTCTTAATTCCCCGGATGAGTCGAGGATGATGCTCCCCTCTGAAGTTGTTATTTCATGGAATTTCATGATTTCCCTCCCAGAGAATTTTACACAATTGTTATGCCTGATATTAAAGATTTTATCTAGGTTCTATTTTGTGTGTATGGCTTCTTCTTCCCAATGAAGGTAGCATAGCAATCCCCAGTTGAAGCATCAACGATGTAGTTTTTCATATTCCCCGGTAAAGTCTGTATTTCCATCCCCAGTTGAAGTCTCGACGACATGATTTTCATCTTCCCCTAGTGAAGTTAGTTCTGGAATCTCCAGTTAAGTCTAGACGATGAAGCTTCCTCTTCCCTTATCTAAGTCCGTATTGGTATTCCCCGGTGAAACATAGAAGAGTTTATGATATTCCCGCAACTTTATTTGTTACTAGCCAGGTGGTTCTTGGTTTGTCTTCAAGCCATGTTTCCTCCCAGAGAATTTAAGCCGTGAAATAGGACTTTGTTTCCTCTGTTGATGCTTACCCTCTCGTGGAATCTAATCTTTGTCCTGCATGTGACTTGGCCGAATGTTGGCTCTACCCAAGATTAGATTTGTCTGGTTATCCCCAGTGCATTATGGTTGTTTTGTCAGCATGCACGTGATAACATCTATACATTTATACACGTCATGCATAGATGAATTTAAAATTCATCATTTGCATTCATTAATGTTTTGTCAGCATATTATCCTCTTTGCAAAGTTATGTTACTCTCTCTCCAATAGAGTTGTCAACTTTAAATGGAAAGTGTGTATCCTTTCAATTTCCCTAACGAGTTATCTATCTTGGAAGATTTTTGCTTCAGCCTTCCTATTCAGTTCATTATCTGGATGGAGTGTTATTCCCTTTTGAGTTTATTTCTCATCGGGTTCTGACTTGATTGATTATTCCATTCCCGTTTATTTCTGGTTTGAATCTCTAGTCCCCGACAATATTATTTTTCTGACTTCTGCAGGCTCCGAGCCTTGATTTGAGAAGGTGCATTTATTTTGCACGCAAAGACTTTTTTCTCCTCAACAGGAATGTATTAGTATTTCCCCAGGAAATCAAGCTTCATTTCCCGCCAATCTTGTTACAATTCCTTCTTAAACAACAAGCGACAGTTCTCTTTATTTGAGATAGCTTGTGTTTTTACCCTTTCCAGGTGAAATATCTTGGTTAAAGAAGAAAATGAGACCAGTTCGTGGCTTATAGTGAGGATCGAGGGGAAGTTTATCTGATTCTCCATCAAATGGTATCTCTTCGAGGAAGTTTCGCAAGATAAGTTTGTTGATAAATCATTACAAGTGGTAGTCTCTTTATTTGAGATAGCTTGTATTTTTACCCTTTCCAGGTGAAACATCTTGGTTAAAGAATAAATTGAGACCAGTTCGTGACTTATAGTCAGGATCGAGGGGAAGTTTATCTCATTCTCCATCAAAGGTATCTCTTCGAGGAAGTTTCACAAGAGAAGTTTGTTGTCAAATATTTACAAGTGGTAATCTCTTTATTTGAGATAGCTTGTATTTTTACCCATTCTAGGAAGAACACCAGGATTTTGGGAAGTTTGTTATTGCTCTTTGAGACATCACCTTCAGTAAAAGCTGGTGCATTCTCTTTTCTCCACCTTCAGTAAACATCGGCGTATCTTCTATTTCTTTACCTTCAATAAAAGTCAGTATTGTCCTATGTTTTTTTCTACCTTCATTCTTGAGTGGGTAGTTCATTACCATTCTTAGGTAAGATTGATCGTTTCTGGTTAGCGATTGTCGATCCCCTGTGTTGATGTTACTCTCTTTTTGCTATCTCCTCTATGAGTAGATAGTTCACAGCTATCGGTTAATTATTGTCATCCATTACTTCTCCCTCAGTTTTTGAGTCTATGTTATTTTGTCTCCTTTCGGGATCTTACTCCCGGTGAAGTTAAGTTTTTTCCTTTCCCTAGCAGAGCCAATTTATCTCCAGTAGATCTAAATTTCTATGCCCGAAGTCGTGTTGTTCTCCAGAGGTTGATTATCCTAGTTGAGTTCCTTATGTTAATCTATTGATTTTACTGTTTCTTCTCTGGTGTGTGTCTGGCCCATCTGTATGAAGTTCATACATTATATCTATAATCATAAACATCGCATGGTATCTTAGGGCCAAAAATAGGACTTGTTTTATATTTAAGTATCTTCAATCACGTAGAAACGAAGATTTTAATCTTCGTATCTCCGGATAGAACACACTTAAATAAGGGCAACTGTTATACCCCAATTTTCCCCTAAGATCCCTCATCATACTTTGTACGATTTTCACATAGCATTGGTCTTATGGTTATATGATCGAAGAGCTTTGGCATTAGGGTCTCTCTCTCTCTCTGAATGGAGGTTGTCATCTTGCTCAAAATTGATTAACTAACGCTCTCATTTTCTTGGTATGAGATTAGGGTTTTCGATCTCAAGCAACATAAACGTCTTCACTAGCAGGATTCCTCAAGATATAAGGTTGTCTTCATCAGAATTTCTTCAGGATGAGTGCTTTAGGGTTCACTATGTGCTCAAGATTCCATCATGTCTTCATTAGGAATGTTCTGAATTCGGGGTTTTGTTCCTCTCACTATCTCAAGCCTTATTCCTTAATGTACACTCAAAGCAAGATCATTTAGGGTTTCTCCTATCTTATTCAGAGCTTGGTATTAGATCTTCAATAGAAGTTCATCGTGCTAGGTTTCTATCCTTAAGGCTACAAGTGTCACCATCTGTTCTTTATTGCAAGTTCATCAATCATTGAGACTTGCCGAATGATTAAGTGTGGCTATGGGTGTTCAGCATGGTATTTTGTTGGCGAATATATATCATGGTAGGAGTTAAGGACTTCTTTATGGTCAAGGCTTTGTTATCTCTTCAACTTCTTCATTGTTTTCAAGTTGACTTGAAATTGAAGAGTGGAGTAGAGAACGGATCCATTATTGTGAGATGTTTCTCTCAAGATTGGTTCAATTGAATTCATGCATATGGTTTTGTAGGAATATAATTTACAAGTAAAAATTCAAATTATAATCCGAATTAAAAATCTAGTCAAGTAGATAATCGAGAATTAGAATTACAAAGGCCTTTATAATGTTTCATACATGTATCATGTCAATATTAAGGTTTCAAAACTAGAAAAGTTGAGAATTTGATTTGCTGGGAATATGGGATTCATGTCTTGATTCATGAGAATTTATGGGCATGCCGTGTTTCAAAAGTCATTCAAGTTATCTTGACTCGCCATTTCATCATGCCAAGGAATAAAATTAATTAGAGAAGATTACTTGAGATGGGTGAAAGTTCTTTTTAAAGAACAAGATTTATTCAAGATGAGAACAGAAGAAAGAGATTTGGCATTACAAAATCAATACTTGATCCAAGGTTGCAGAATCAAAGGAAAATTGGATGTCTAAATTGAAGAATCCGAGTAAAATTTGGAATTGAAATTAAAAGGAAAGTCAAGCTTCTTTTCCTTGGAATTACTTCATTGATTGGAGGATAAATTCAGAACTCATTACAAAGTTACAAAAAACCGAATCCATATAAACCTATACTTTTCTTCATCGAACTGATGTTATGCCATCTTCACTTTGCTTCAACTGATGCCAAGTTGAACTTCAAATACTTCAAGCCAAAATATTGCTAGTTGTGCCATGTACTGTGGACAACAAAAGGCTGCAAAAGGATATATCGATCAGGACTCATGAACTATCATGAAATATATGCAGAAAAAGGAAACCAAACTAGGAAATGTATTAGCAACAGGAAATCAGAACATTTTTCAGATTGGTCTTATCCATCATTCACCAATGACTAATATTGATATCTTCAAGTGAATTCATAATAGGAAGTTACAGCCTATAATTGACTTCTTCCAAAACTGTTTCAAGACAAAATTTCAACTAATAGAGTTTTCTAACGGTTCTCCAACTTCTTCTCTAATAGGAAACAAAGCTCATAACAGTTTCAAAAAACTTGGGAAGCATTTTTAACGGGATTCAGTTACAGAAGAAGAGAATAACAAAAAGGAAGGAGAGAGCTGGTAGAATTCATAATTGTCAAGAGACCAAGCTTTAACAGAATGGCTAATGGTTGGTAACAGAAAAAAATATTCATAACAGAATGGCTAGAGGTTTTGTAATGGAATTGGGAATGGTTAACAACTTCTAACAGAATTGGCAGGAGAGAGGGAAGCGCGGAAAAATGGTTTTGTAACAGAATTCAGAGTGGCTAACAGTTCATAACAAAGAAGGGAATAGATTGAGGGCTGATAGCAATAACAGAAATATAAAACAAAACAAAAAAAAACTCACCAGTAAGGGGATTCAGAAATTTTGCAGAAGAATCCTCCACCTTCACTTTCCTCCATCTTTCTCACTCTTCATTCTCCATTTCTTCAATCCACAGAAGAAGGACAAAAACCAGAAAAGCTCTATCTCTCTCTTCACTCTCATTTTTCTAAATTTTTTGCAACAATAAGGATCGTCATCAATCTCTCATCACCATCCTTCAGTGATCTTCATCTTCCTTCACCTCTCTTCAATCTTCATCTTCAACTTTCGACTTTCTCGAACCTGGTTTCAAGCTTCTTGAATCTGCAACTTCAGTGCAACTCATCTTCAACCGCAAGCTTTCGTTTCATCTTTCAACTTCACCACTTATCTACTTCATTGCAACCTACAAAAATGAAAAAGCGAAGAGAAGAAGCACGAATTGAACGAACAAGAATTCAAGAGTGTGTACCTGAGTTCTTGAGGATCTTTTCTGGATTTTGAATCGGTTTCGTCAAACTCGAAGGTGCTCTGGACATTTTCGGAAGGTAAACCTTGAACTTTATCATTCATTACCGTGTTTTTGTGTTCGTGGATATGTATTATTGTTGTGTGAACAAATAGGTGTTCAAGGCTCATAAATGAAGTTATGGCATTTTGACGACGGAGATGCTTGCGGAGTAAGGTGGATCACGATAGAGGCTTATATGGTGATCTGCAGAGAAGCAGTTGAGACGGAGGAAATTGATGACAGTGATGAGAGAGATTGAAAAAATGATCGTGAGACATTGAAGTAACGGAGATGATAGATGGAATAAGAGTTAGGGGGTGAGAGGAGCTTCAAAATCGCGACGGAGAGCGAGACGGAGAAGAGTGCCGCCGTATAGAACTCACAGAAGGAGATTTCGTTTTGAGAGGAAGCGCCACTTCTTTTACCCTATCTATACCAATGCATTGTCGTTTCAATTACCATATTTCTTCATTGTTTTGATTTACTTATTTTATTGAAATTGTTGAATAATTGATCAATAGGAAATGATAAATATGGTATAATATAATGCTGAGAATAGAGAAACATAGTGAGACTTGGGCTGATCGAAATCCCATAGGGTCTGTGTTCATTTTTTTGGATAACCAATACCTTGCTAAAAAAAGATGCTTCTGGATGGGCTTTTTGCTCCATTATTGAACCAACCTATGGATCCAGGCGATATACCCCCCTGATCCTTCTTTCTTCTTATTAATATGTTAGTTTTTTTATTATTTGATTTTTAGGAATTAATTCATGATTTTTTTATTACTTGAGACTTGTGACTCACTTCTGCTTGTCGAGATTTGAGTTTTATGCAGGTTTAGAGCTTGATATGCGGACATGTTTGAGTTTCCGATTGTGATTTATTTTCACATCGATGATGCTTCGACACCTATTCTGAATATTCGATCTCTGATTGTTTGTTTGTTGATGCCAACTCGCGTGAAGTATCACGGATTTATTTACTTTGGTTGCGCTTTTTGCGGACGTCATTGTTCGTTTGGTATTATACTGCTTCCAAGTTAGATTTCGGCATTTATCGCTTTTCTAGATAGCATGAGAAGTAGGAAATAAAGAGCGTGCGCTCGAAGTCGTTGTTTAAAGACCTGTAGCAGGCATTCCGCACTTCATTTCTTATATGTGTTGTGCTTGTGTTTGTTTCTTTTCTTGTTAATCGATGAGTCACTCAATTTAGCAATTGAGATCACGACTTCGCTCTCAGTGCATGATCCCTATAGGATTTTATCGCTTTCCTTTATTTCTTGTTGATCGATTAGTCACTCAATTTAGAAATTAAGATCACGACTTCACTCTCAGTGCATGTTCCCTATAGGATAGTTTGTTAGACTTTCTTTGGCATGCTAACTTAGGTAGGATCCCTCATTGTATGATAACATTAGGTTAGAGATAGGTTAGTCTCCCTTGAATGTTTTCTTCCCATTTTTGCATAATCGCATTTAAAACTAAAACTTCTTTTTCTTGGCAAATGTATAAAAATTCTAAGCATATAAAAAAATTTGTTCATGGTAAAAAATACCAACCAATCCATTTATTTTCGCCATTCGACTTTTCTCTTCTAAGAGCGTGTTAGCTCCTTTCCACTACAGTTCATAAGTCTCCAAAGGTCGAGCAACGGTGGAATGATCGAATGCAATATCGTTCATTTAAAAAAATACAAACAAACAAAATATATGAGCCGAACTACGGTAGCTCTGATACCTCAAAAAGGATACGTGGGCATTTGGGTAGGGCCCAAGCGAGTACAACTTTATTTTCCCTACATTCTTTCTCTTTTCTTTGAATACACTCTCTCTTATTTTATAACCTTTAAGAATTAGATTGAACACAACCTTTTATTAAAATAACGAGAGTGGATCCCGTTGAGTACTATGGACGTGTGGTGTGCTAATACCTTCCCCTTGCACAATCGACTCCCTTACCTAATCTCTTGGTCGCAAGACCTTGGTTTCCCCTTTAGGTTTTTCTTCGATGATTTTCCTTTCCCTTTCATATGGGATAAATAAATACTCTGTGGTGACTTCATTGAATTTACCGCTACACTATGCGATGAGACTCCACACATTTTAAATCATTAAAAGTGATCCAATCTTACTCTGTATGTTTGCTAAGAGTGAATGGAATGGAGGTTTTGTAGTAAAAGGGATTGAAAATAGGTTTTGAAAACTTTAGGGTTCTTGAAAAAATCTTTGCTACTTTTTGACAATATTGAGAGGCAAGGGTTTATATGATGGGTTCTTGTCTTGATGTCTGAATGTATAGAGAAAATTAGGGAAAAAACAAATGGATTGGACCTTTTTTAATAAGATATGATTTTATCTTATTTATTTTGTATTATTAATTAATTTAATCAAAAATAATAAAAATAATTAAAAACAAAAGGATCAACGGGTGTGACAACAAGGTTTGATGTGTATGAACAGTATAATACACGTTTGGACTCTTAAATTATGCCCCAATAGACCAAAATATCAAGCTTCCTCATTTTGAACTTCATGCATTTGCTTAAAATTTCCCATCTTGCAATTGTAATAACTAACTCAATTTTTATCTTTTGAAAGTGATCTTTAACTTTTTGGAAATTTCAAGATGTCCTTTATCTTGATATAAGTTGCCTTGAATTTTGAATTTTATCATAAATGTTGCGGATAGATAGAGTCGCCATCAACTTTTCTTTTATCCAAAAAGGAAAGGGTGAAAAGAACAGGAAAAACCTTTGAGAATTTTCTGAGTTTGGGGGGTAGGTTATGAAAAGGGATGGTGTTAGAACCCTTTTCATCTGTAGTTATCCACGGGCTCTTAATCACTTAGCTCACTTTCAAAATAATTTGTGTGTTTGAAAATATTTCGAAAATGCCTAAGTGCGGCAACTTTGTAATGATTCTTGTATCAGTTAAGAATGCGTACAAAGTGTTTTATTTTAAAAATATTTCAGAGAAAGTGTTCGTGAAAAAAAGATGTTTTGTTTTTGTGAGCAAGCTATTACGACCTATCTACCTACTCAAAGATCTTTCGTGTTATTTTCCTCCTCCTTTAGATAGAGTTATCCTACCATTAGTTAGTGGGAAGTCTTATCGTGGGATGTGAAGGGAAGGGCGTGGGTCATCGTACAATCAAAAAGGAAACTTGTAGGGGAGCTTTAGCGATTTCTCATAAGGGACTAAGATCTTTTACTAAAGGAAGCATCGTAAGGGTCATCGAGGGAATACGATCTTTTTTAATCGAGGGTCTTTGCTAAAGCTTCCCCATGTTCAAGGGACATGATTGTTTTTATTCGAAGGGATATCTAGCGTTTTGTTTTAGATCTTGTCATACATGCCTAGTTATCATACAGTAATAAGGAGAGCGGTAAATTGCAGAAAGTAAAGCTGCAAAAAGCAAATGTACAGAAAAATCAACCTAAACTATTACAGGGCTTTGAAGAAGGGGGTACAAAACCATAAAACTAGGTAAAATGTAGTAAAACCTAATTAAAACTATTACAAACCGTATCAGTTAGATAATCAGAAAATAATGCGAAAATAATAAAGTAGGCGAAGATTGTGAAATAAAGGGAAAAATAAAATTGTTTTATGATTTTGATAGAAAAGAAATTTGATGATTAACCTAACAAATCTAATTGATTAAAAAAGTTAGGGAATTCAATTAAACAAACCCTAAAATCTAGGTTAATTTATAATTTAATCTAAAAAATCTAAAAAATTTAAATTAGGGTTGATTAAAGAAAACCTAAAAATAAAATTAAAAACCTAAAATTAAATTAGGGTTTTGAAAAAATGTTTTTTGAAAAAAAGGGTTTTAAAGAAAAAGAGTGAAAAAGAGTGAGAAACATAAAAAATAACCAAAGGGTAGGGGTGGGTGTTGAACCCATGCCCTCAAGCATTCTCCACGCCTAGAATACCACCAGACCAAGCGCTGGTTGGTGTCAAGATAACAGGTTCAACGTATCATATGATAAACCTGCAAAGATAATGAATATATGAAAAAAATGGCAAAACTGAGGATCAAACCCGTGACTCGGGAGAGGAGTGACGTAGCGCGCGCGTTTTTACCACTGGGGTGGCTATACATCCATTAACATAACTGAATCAATTAATATATAAAATAAGCCTGAATGCATTAACCGGAGAGGCGTCGGAGACCTAGCTCCGATCGTCTTCTCTGACGACCTATTTCTTCCAATACATGCAAAATCAAAACGTTAATGATCCAGAAACGTCCTACCCCCTAAATCAAGGGTTGCGAATATAATGGGAGTATTTTTGAAATTTAAAAATCAAGGGATTAAGAGTTATGATGTAAACATGTGAAATCAGTGCTAGCATGGTGGTTCACGTTTCAGTCTGCATGGGACCTCCATTATTGTTCTATTTTGCATTGTTGGATCTCATGAACACATAACAAACATTAGTAAGGGTTAAAACAAACAGAAAATCAAGATATTAACATGGTGAACATTATTAAATCGGTGATGCTATGCAATGTGATTTCACACGTTTTGGATCACCAAAATTGATCCAAGCTTACCTTGTATGCTTGTTGAGAGTGAATAGAATGGTTGTTTGTAGTGAGAAAGTTTGTAACAATGATTTCAAGATTTAGGGTTCTTGAGAAAATGTTTGGAAATTTTGACAAGTTTTAGGCAAGGATTTTTTCGTGTCCTCTTGTATGAGAGTTGATGATACTAAATAGTGGTAAATTAGTTCAAGGATAAGTGGACTTGGACCTTGTGTAAAAATATGTGATTTTATTTTATATATTTTTATATTATTAATGAATAAATCAAAAATAATAAAAATAAAAAGGTCAAAGGGTATAAGAACAAGGTTTGAAGTGTATGAAGAGTGTGATACACGTCTGGACTCTTAAACCATGGCCCAATAGCTTAAAATGTCAAGCTTGCTCAATTTGAGCTTCATGCATTTGCTCAAAATTTGCCAACTTGCAATGGTCACTACTCTCTCAATTTTCATCTTTTGAAAGGTATCTGGGACGTTTTGGAAAGCTTAAGATGTCCTCTATAACCTCTATGTTGATAATTTTTTCTTTTGAAGACTTTATCTTGATGTAAGTTACCTTGACAAAAAGTGTCTTTTTGTTGACTTTTGAAAAGACCTGTAATGTATTGACACATATCTCTCAAATGATGCATTTTTTGGACTTGAGCTTAGATTGAAAAATTTGTAGATAATTGAATTCCCTTCAAAATGAGCTTTAGTTTGGGAAAAGCGGATGAAGCATGTGAGAGTTATCCTTGGTCAAAGTTCAGTTGACTTCTCTTAAGGAAACCCTTATTTGGCAACTTTTGATTTTTGATGATTTGAGGGCTTTTCTTGAGGAATCGTGATCAACCCTTGATCAAATGATGAGTATTTCTTCAAAATGTTGATGTTGACAAAAAATCTTGAACTTTGACTGTATGTTGACCATAGTTGACTTTTTATCCAATATAGTTAACTTTCAGTCATCTGAGCCATTGACTGAGCAAACTTGTGATGCAAGGCTTGAAACTTGACATGAGCATTCCTATGGACATATGAAGAACCTTGAGAGCCACTTGAGGACTTGGGAACCCAATCTTCCTTGTAAAATATGAAACCCTAATTGTGGACCCATTTCTTAGGAGGAGCATT